ATGTATGTACGTATGTATACATACATATACGTGTTATATTGTGTACATATATATATATATATATCCCCTGAAACCTCGCCTGACTCGTCGAGTGCGAGTGCTAAAAAAAGCAAAAAAATATATCCTCACATGTGGCCGTTTCCAGATAAGTGTTACTTTGAACAACCACCAAGTAACTAACTAACTAGCTCGCTATCTAGCTAGCTAACAAACAAACTAGCTAAATGAGTAACTAGCTAGAGATATAAATAAATAAAAATAAATAAATATAAATAGATAAATAAATAAATATATTTATATACACACATACATATACGTACATACACATTCACCATGCACTTGCGTGCCTGTGCATGAGAGTGCGCGCACACACACAGACACATCTGTCCCGTCCCCAAGCAGTTCCATGGAGTCTAGAGAGCTGGACGGTGGAGCAGTCTGTTCCAGCCCACTTTACCCTTTCAAGCACAATGGCAGACGGCTAGGACTCAATATTTCTGAGCTTGTGTAGTCTTCTAGTTAGTTTTTTGAAAGCAGATTCAGCCATGCGCCACAAGAAATTCCTTCGTTCCCTGGCACGTCCTTCAGATGAAGGAGCCCAGCCATCACTGATGTTGAGAGATGTGCGAGGATGTGTGTGTGTGTGCGCAAAACCGAGAGGTTTGCGTGTTTTATCGGTGCTGTCGTTATTCATCTAGGCCAGGCATGCTAGGCCAGGGAATTACAAAGTCACCACCTTCTTGCAGAGGTGCTGACTGTGCATGACACAGCTACCCTTGACACTTTCCTCTGCTACGAAATTCTCTGGGGATGCCAGAAACCATGAAGCTGTCCTTGAGGTTTGTAGATGAGAGAAGAACTGCAAGCAGTTTGGCAGAGGATGCAGCTGGAAGCGCCCTGTGGCGCAGTGCAGCTCTCCGCTTCTTGGCATGCACCGAGCTGCCGAGCTGCTGGGGGCTGCTGTTGCATCAAGATCATCAAGAAGACACAGGAAGGAACATCGCTGTAGCAGCAGCCGGGACTTGTCGCTGAGGGCCAGGCCTTGGGCCGCGGTGCCAGCGGCCGTGTCTTTCTTGGCTCCTGCGAAGCGCTGGGCCCAGGGCGGGAGAGCGTGGCAGTGAAGGCTCGGGCAGCTGTGGAGCTCGGACGTAGGCACGAGCCATCCCGCTATTGCCGTAGGAGCTTTGAGGTATCATGTGCATACCGTCCTAAGTATCCAAGCTTCTTTTGTTTGCACAAGTTTCGTCTGCCACAGCCAGGGAAAAGCAGTCCCCAGCTATCGCATGCTGAAAGTTGCAGACTCTCTGCGCATGTCAGTGCAATTGTCATTTGGGTGGTATCACGACTGTCCGGGCTGATCCTTACACGTCAGCTTGACACGAGTCTGGAGCATCGCAGTCACATGTCGATGTGTCTCGATTCTCATGCTCTCTGGTGTCAGGTTGTGCATGGGATTGGCAGCGACCGTCATGCCGCTGGTGCATGGCGTCGGGAGCCGTGCTTTGTGTTGACTTACCATGATGGAAGGAGTTGTAGTAATTCCACTAGCCTGCCTGGAAAGATCTTGTTGCAGGAGATCACGAAGCAAATGCAATTCCAGCTTTCCGATTGCCTGCTCTCACACTGAAGGAGCTCAGGGTCGTGAGACCCCTGCTGACGAAGCCTCATCGCAACATCCTGGTGGGGGGCAGTGCCATGCAGACTGAGAGTGCTGGCTGTCAGTGTCAAGTCATGGCATGTTGTCGGGAATCCAGGCCTACCATGCTGCCTTCCGGTTTACTGGTTCGCCAATCTGCCAGCCGGGGGCTGCCGGCGAAATTCTGCTGGAGCCAGGCCAGGAACTGAAAAGCGAAGGATTTGGAAACAGCCATAAACATCATGAGCAGCAGGAAATGATGTCGGACCCTCATGCCCCATCGGTGTGTGGGTTTTTGCGAATTGACAGCGGGGGTCGTGGAAACAAATGAGTGGTCAAATGGTCGCGTCTGCACGGCACTCAATCCAAACGTCATGACTTGGATCAGGCAAGGTTGAAACAGGGGAAGATTTTGGGAAGCGTGAAGTTTTGCATTGGAAGTCCAAAGTCTAGCTCGTCCAAGCTGCTGTTCCTACAGAAATGATATTCAACAGCTCTGTATTCGTTGTGCAAACCTGGAGGCTAGTGTGTGGCAGGCCGAGGTAGTCTTTATGACAGTGCGGGAGACTGTTCTTACGTGGACATTTCATCTCGACTTCGTTTTCGTTCCGTTCAAGGAAGCTGCCACCGTCGCTCGCAAGACCACAGTGGTGATACGACACCACGGGCTTCCCTTCCGACGGCCCCAAGTCACACGTTTCACGGAGCTGTTCGCAGCATAATCCGGTCTACATGTTGGACCACTGAGCAGCACAGCGACGCTCGTGTTGTCTTGTCGTTTCCTGCCTTCCAATTTGAGATGCCTCGCCTGGATCTGTCAGAGCCTCGCGACATGTGGTGTTGCTAAGCGTGGAAGCACTCCGAAAGGCGATGGCGTCCTGGTAATGGAAAGGGCCATGCGCTCGCCACTGCCCGTGGGGTTACGCCCAGAGGCCTGGAGATGTGACGACATTGGGGCAACGCCCGAAGTGGTACGGCCTCTGTCCCTCGGAGGGCGACGGCACCTGGGAAGCCGAAAGAGGTTGGCGGCTTCAGCAGGCCTGGAGTGCGTAGAGAGAAGATTTCCTATGTTTTGAAAGACCAGGCTGCCTGGGCGGCAAAAGTTCTCGTCTCTGGTGCCAATGCCTTGCACTGGCTTCACCAGGCAAAACTCGAAGTGCTCGCCAGGGAAAAAATTGATAAACGTTGCCAAGCCAGCCGCTCAGCAGGTCATCCGCACCATCCATCGAGATCTCAAGCTGGAGAACCTGCTGATCTCCGAGGACGGTGTCTTGTTTTGATCAATAGTCGCTCGCATCGAGATGCTGGCGTGATGCCACAGTGTTTGGAGTTTCAGTGGCGTGGGTCTGTGCGTGTCGGCTGAGGTGTGTTGAAGCTTGCTGATTTTTCGGCGGCCAAGACGCAGTTGCAATCTCAGTGGCAAGGGCTGAGCTTCCCTTAAAGCTTGATCACCTGTCTGTGAGCAATCTAAGGCTCTATGACTTGCAGGTGGATATGGCATGATCTCGGCACTGCCACACGTGTGCGAGAGCACAGCCTCGCATTGACGCAGCTCCTCCTTGAGCAGGTGGCGGGCACGCGACAAGGTATCGGAACTACAGGCGAGGAGCCGGCGTGATGTTAAGGGGATTCTGAGTATGCTGTTGACAGGTTCCATGGCCCCGGAGCTCTACTTCAAAAACACTGGATACTCCTCAGCCGTGGACCTCTGGTCATTGGGCTGTGCTGTGGTCGATGCCTTCAACGGCTCCGTACCGTACGATATGGAGCCTCGCCGGCATGTTGAGTCGTCTGCGCCGTTGCCCCATCATCAGAGTATCAACTTTTCACCACAGGTGCTGTCCAACATGTGTCAGTGTTGTACTTTATTGTTTATGGAGCTTCTAAAACAATTTTGAGCTTGCTTCAGCTTGGGAATGCAGCCCGACATGGGTCGGCCGAGCTGAATCCATCCTGCCAAACCTCATGCACCGAGCACGGCATGCAAGTGCCCTTGGTAAATGCCTGGTGCTGCAGTGGAGCGTGGAGGAGCTTGGGTTCCGTTAGAAGTGGTGTGCCGGAGGCTAGTCGCAGGTTGTGTGCCGAAACCGCAGGTTGATCGCACTTCGAACTGTTGAGTTATGAAGTCGGTTTGAGCATCCCATGCAAGACAGTTGTTCCTCAGGGATCCGCAAGCCAGAAGAACCCAAAACCCCAGATAGGGGCGGAAGTCATCCAAGGATTCCTTTCTTGCGGTCGTCACCCTCGGACAGCTGAAGCCTCCCTCCGGCTCGGCATTGCGGCTTCGCCACGATACTTGGCTTCGGTACGATCGGCGACCTGCAGAGTCGTGAGACGAGTCCGAGGACTGCATTGCAGCAGACCCCGACTCCAAGCTGGCAGAGGGAGTCCGACGCCTTCAGGAGTGCGGCCAAGAGATCGGACCCACCCCTACAGAGAGCCAAAAGGGCATCTCTCAACTCTGACTGTGGCGTCAGAGGCCAACTTTCTTCGATGCTGCTCTTTCTCAAGCATTGGCAGAGTGAAGGCACGAATCCGGAAGCCACCATGCTTGGTGGAAAGGCAAAACATGTTCCAAAGACGGCCCAGATTAGGTAGTGGTAGCACGTGCAATGCTTGAGCCTGTTATATGGGAATTGTTAGGATTTCACATCGGGGTTCTGCACCACGTTGCTGTAGCTGACTGGGCATGGAGGCGGTTGTTGTTGACTGCTGCGAGTCGCCGCCGGCGAAGCGCCCCAGGACCGCCATATGGAAGCTGGAGCCGTCGAGAACGGTAATAGACTTGGATCTTGAGCCCGGACTTCGAGCTTTGCCGGGAGAGACAGACGAGGCCTTTGCGAGCCGTTTGCAAAATCTTGCGCAAGAGGAGGCGGAGTTGGAACATCGCCGATTGGCAGACGACTCTGCTCTTGCTCACAGCTTGCACCAAGCCTGGCTTCAGGAAAGCGAGCAGACGCACAGCACGCATTTTCGCCACGCTGTGGGAAGGACTGCAGCCTCGACGCTTGTTGGGCTCCCTCCATGGGCACAGCCCCTGATCCCTGAAGTGGACGAGTTGTCTTCACACAGACTTAATCTGCAAGATGTGGACATTCTTGGCACGAACCGCGAGCCCTTTCTTCATCTTCGAAACGTTGATGGGCAGCAAGGCCTTCTGCTTGCTGGGCGTGTGCTCAACGAGCTTCGTTGTCAAGGTCTGCGCCTCCTTTTACCAGAGGGCCGAGTCCGGAACGGCATCGTTGTCCGGAGGCATGCGGAGCGTCGTTCAGTGGACCCGTGGAGTACTGGAATAAGAGTTCTGCATGACCTTGCCGAGACCATTCGCCTCGATCTTTGTCGAGCCTACGCCGCGCAGGTCCCGGAGTTGCGCCGTCCACATAGGGGCTGGAGCGACACAGAGGTGATGGTGTCTGGTCCAAAGTTTAAGCTGAATCGCCACACAGACCTCCAACCTGCAGGGTCGCTGCTCTTCATTTTCAGCATTGGTCTTGCCAGCAACAGCCAAGCATGGCCTGGAGGTGTGCTTAAGGAGGCATGTCTGCAGAGCGGTGACCTCATGATCCTGGACGGTCGGCGCACTGCTCATGCCGTGCCACGGCTGGTGCCTCGCAGCAGTCCCTTCCCAAAGTGTCCATGGCTTGCCAATCGCCGGCTCGTCGTTCTAGTGCGGGAGCGTCCTGCTAGCAGCTAGAAGTTGCGAACAGTGCGTAAAAGAGATGACATGAGGACAGTGAGTGGCATAGCAACGAGGCAGGGAGGAGCAAGCCAGAGGAATCTGGAATGCAAGGCTGCAAGGGCATAGCACAGCAGCCACCGAGTCGGATTCACCTGAAGGGTTTGATGGTGTCTGCGGTTATGGGCCTTCCCATGCCGCCATGGGCCACGGATAATCCACAGCAGACACGATGAACTTCTTCAAGTCTTGACTTAGTCTTCGAGTGCATTTGTCAACTGAATTGATGAAGTAGATTTGCGCCTTTTGCTAACCATACAGGTTGTTGGATTCAGACATCCTCGTGTGAAGAGTAGGGTGCGCCCTCATTCTCAGTTTCTGCGTCCAACAGAATAATACCAGAACATTCGAAAGCAAGGCAAGCACGGGACGGGCTGAAAGGTGCTCAAAGGTGTCGGTTTCGTTCTAGACCAACCATATTCAACACTTACTGTGCGAGGAGAGCATCCAGCGCCGAATCCTAGACTGGTTCCCCCAGGACCCGCATTGCAGACGAGGTCAGTCGAAGAGAAAGTTTGGAATCTTTGACGCTCCGGCAGATGTTGCAAATCATTATGACGGCCTGAACACCAACGCCCACCACATGTTGCTGTGAGGATGATCATCTCTGCCGAGACTTGAGTGCAGTGCTTCTGAAGCTTCTCGTTCCAGCCACTTGACTGCACGCTACTGCACGTAGAGGAAAAGCGCCCTTCGTGCTGCGAGACCTGCCTCTCAGGTGCCGGACAGGCGGTTAACGGCACAGCAGCTGATGCCCGGCACAAGAGGGTGAGAAGTCTTTGTCAGTCTTGAGGGGGGCATCGCCATATTGGAACCTCCGGACCCCGAGACGGAAGGAACCGGACCGTCCCGGAGAAAACGATATTCCCCTGATCTTGTAGCCAAGGCTACGGCAGCCTGAGATGCGTCGCCTGGCTGAAGCCGCAGCCTGTCCGCTGGTGTCTCGGGCTGCGATCAAAAGGGTCGTAGTCGCAAGTTCTTCGCAGGTGCGAGCTTTCAGTGACTTCTAAGGATGTTCCAAGCACGTCGCAGCCGGCTTTCTTGGAGGTGGGGTCCGAAAGGTCCGAAAACCACGACCCTCTTTAAGCGAAGGCGAACGCGCGGCGAGAAAGGATTCCGCTCGAGTTCAGAAAATCAGCAAACCACAACGGCGGTGGCCAGGATGTGGCCTGGGCAGAAATTCTGACCGAGGTGCGCCGAGTCAGGGAATGAGCTGCTTTCTGGAATGTGCTTTCTGTGGATGATGACGGGTGAATGATCCCTTAAACCGCAAGTGAACCCAGAAGGGCTCATAGGGCTCCTGAGTTGAAATACTTTTCCAGTGGACAGGCTACTGCTCAGGGTGGTCCAACTGCTGTGGCGCAGCTCGGTGTTGACCTAGAACAGAGCTTGCGAGCTTCGTGGCAATTGGTCCTCTGCAGGAGGTAGCATGTGAAGGGACGTGCTTGATGTCATGTTGTCAGGGTTTGGTGGTGGAGTTGCGATTTTGCCGGTTGGCTGGTGGATAAACACAGCTGCGTCCGTGGAAGTTACCCGAAGCCTGGCCTGCCGAGTGCGAGTGTTAAAAGGTCGGACCCACACAGCTTCATGACATGGAAAGACACCATCGAAATCCGCTTCATCCCGTCCCATCCCCTGAGTTCCCGGCCCCCTGTTTTTCGTTGTCCAGGTAATCTTGTCGACGTCCGGGGGTTAAAAGCTCGCGCAGCGACTCTGCGGAGCCAAGGCAGATGATGCATCAGGCTTTGGAGCGAGTCGATTCAGTGCAGGAGCAATGGCCGGAGCCAGCCCAAGTGCGGCGAAGGCTAACGAGCCAACCAAACAACTCCGCTCACCAGACAGCTGCAGGATTTGGATATGCTGCGCGAAGATGTTTTCCGAGCTCTTCTTGCAGAGGCCGCCGGGAGATGACGAGTATTGAGGTTCTCGCGAAGTTACGCACAGGATCCTGCAAGCCCCGAGCTGCTCCAGATGCGACTCCGGCGTGGCTTAACCAGTACAGCGGATCTGTGCATCAAAGTTGTGCCAGGTTCTTGCAGCTCCCATGCTTTGAGGTCGCCGACGGCGGCGGCTGCAATGCATTTTAGGCTCCAGAACAGACCACATGACGAATGGGGTGACAGTGAGGTTCCACAAGGTCTTTGCCTGGCTGGGCCCGCCCGACCCAGGCCGGGTCGCGGAGACCTTCAAAGAGAGTGTGTCGGCTACCCCCGGATCCCCTGCAATGCGCCAGGACGCACTCTGCCAGCTGTGGAGGGTGGCAGCCTCATCTGCGGTCAAAGCTATTTCGAAAAGTTCCAGTGACAGGCCGAGGACTTCCTGGACCCATCTGCACTGGTCACGCAACTGCAGGCGCGGCCCCAGGCGCATAGCAAAGGGAGTGAAGTGAATGGTGAATGGTTCGCTAGGAGCACGGCGTGAGCTCGGCCAAGTTCTGGGCTCCGGGGCGTGCGGAGCGGCTTCTGGAGGAGTGCTGCGAAATGAGCGCGGAATGCAAACTATCAGCCGAGTTGTCGAAGGATCTGAAACACGGAACTTCCCTGTCACTCCGTGACGGTGCGAGTGACGTGGCTCAAGTGCGGCTCATGCTTCCGGATTGCTGATAGTCGTGCATCGGAACAACCAGGTATCGCCGGTGCGGATAGAGTTCTGCGTATCGTGCACGAACTGCTTCTGGACGCAGGGAGCTCGGGAGATCTGATGACACGGGGCGTCTCGAGCTTGCCTTTCAGAGTGGGAAATTCAGACAACGCTTCTTCTTCAGTAACACCGGCCGAACAGCTCAACATGGGAAGCACGACCAGTGAAAGACCAAGTGCTGAAGAGTTCGTCTTACCTCGAAACACACATAGCTGGACGAAGATGCTCCTTTGGCTCAGGTGCGCCTTGCTTCCGAAGAAGCAGATGCAGGCCCACACAAGGAGCGCGGTCTCCTCGGAGGGGCTCGCGGCTGGTTTGCGATTCGCCAACACACCTACATCCCTCGCCCAAGCATCTGTGAGGATGGTGATTCCAGGTATTTCTGCTTGCTGGCACCTCTTCTGACTGTATGTTGTGAGACAGCGCCAGCGTGCAGTGCATGTCAGTGGACTTGGCCATGTGCCGGATTCCCAGGAAATGCACAGCATAGACTATCTGGCAGATGGCAAATCGTCGCTCTGAAAGCGCTTACTGACTGACTCAATGCACTTAATTGTCTCAAATGTCCCAGCGCACTTGCCGCACTTGTCCACTGGTATTCATTAGTGGCAGTGAAGCTCCAAAGCCGAGGCTGTTTCCTCACCTGCGCCAACGCCCACCCACGCAGCTGCGACTCGGATTGCACTTTGAAGCCTCTATAGGCATGGTGAGCCTTGTGCGCATCGGAAAGGTTCGATCCCAAAGATGGGAAGAGCTGGGTGGCCCGTATTGGTGATTTCATGGGTGGCGCACTCGCTCCAGTGCTGCCATCCTGGGAGGAGACTTCTTCGTTTTGGCTCCATGCTGTTTTCGACTTCGAGTGCTTTGCTGCATGTAGCTACTTGTACGAGAGCCCCGCGCCAGGAAAGTCCAGATGACTGCAAGCCGCAGCTGTCAGTCGAATTGAGGCCAGGCGACAAGATGTTGAAGCTGATCAAGAGTTGGCAGTTCGGAATCGGCAATGTAATTTGCTTGCTGAAGAAATTGTGCTGGCGTGGTGGAATTACTCATCGGCAGACGTGCCGGATCCTGCAGACGATTGTTGCAAATGCAGGCAGTCAGAATACTTTCCCGGCCTTCTGCACCTTGGATTGTTTGAGGCGGTTTGACGGCGATATGCAGCTGAAAGGCTTTGTGGCTTCGGAAAGTTTTTTTTTGTAAGTCGCACGCCATGCGAGCCAAGCCCAGGACGCGCTGTCACCGCTGGACACTGCAGGCTCGGGCACCTCCAGGGACATCGGCCTTGGGCTTCGCCACAGAGGCGCGAAGCGGCGCTTTCATTGCAGAACTTCGAGTTGCAAGATGCTGCGAGGGTGCACGCTGTCGCACGCTGTCATGGACTTCCTCGTTTCTCGTGGCCAGGAGGTGATGTCGTCGGGCGTTCGGCGAACGAGGTGCGCTTGACAAGCCACGTGCGGTGCTCGCAGGAACTTGTTCCGGAATGTTGGGAGACGAAGTGGGATAGATTTAGTCCGCATCACATGAAACAGCAGGAGTCAGGCTGCGTCATCGACGAGGTCACACATAGATCACCAAACATGCCTAGAGAATTGAGTAGCCCGCAAAAAGGCGAAGTTTGGCCTTTGAAACCTGGGTCATGGGAGGTGGACGGTGAAACTTCACACACTTCTGTACCCTATCCTCTCAGCACTGCAGGCACTGGGCCTGGCTCCCGCAACCACGTGCGCAGGCGTGGGCTGCTCGACATGGCTCGCTTGAATCTACGATTCCTCATGTTTCGACTGGAAAGTGGAGCCGGTAGAGTTGGCCCGCAGCTCTGGCCTGGCCTTTACTGCCAGAGAGCCGGAAGCTTCTTTTCGGCTCGCGTGCTGCCGAGTCTTTCTTGGAGGCCTTGGCGGCTCGGCGCGCACGGCTGCGGCTCAGCGGAGTCCGCTGCCAGGTCTTTGGTCCCCGGGTCTGTTCGGGCAAGCAAAAAAAGACTTCTCGCAGGACTTGAGCAAGACCACCGCAGAGGAGCAAGGTCAGACGCTGCTGCACGCAGCTTGCCAGAGCAGGCGCCGCAGAAGAACTGCCGCACCTCAGTACGCAAACCTGTCTTGGTGCTACAAATCAGCAACGGCGACAAAGGCAGCAGTAAGTCAGCCGAGGCCCTGCCCTTCTAGATTCTGTTTTTGGGGAGGTACGCTGCTCGCCTCTTGCGTTTGGTCTCCGAAGCCTTGCCTCATGCGAAGGCCTTTTGGCAGTCCAGAATACCTTCTTGATGGAGAGGGGTTGAGGTTGATGTCTCTTTAACTTGTTGCCGGTATGTCGACAAGTCTGATGATATTTTCAGAGGACAGCTTCTGCACAGCCTTCGGGGGTGTCTGCGGCATATTGCAGCACCACTGTGCTTGGGCCTGTGGAGGTCAACACTGATGGCTCCTGGTCGGGGTTGCTCCCGCTCGATGTGCTTTGCCGAAAGATACTGTGTGCTATAGGGCAGCTCAGAAGCCTCCACGGGCTGAAAGTGACCATGAACTCCAAAGGTGCGGGACCATTTGGGCCGCACGCCGTTGTGGCTTGCAGCCAGCAGGCCCGACACCAAAGCTGTCGGTGCCTTGGAAAGCGCCAACCCAGGTTCCAACGCACAATCCGGCAGATCGTTGGTGGTTGCGAGCAGCTTGCAAGCAGCGTCCGCTCACACTCTCAGTGGCTTGCCAAACCCTGGTTGCAGAACCCTCACTCGAACTACCCCGTTCCTGAGAGCTTGGGGGTTCCTTTCCATTTTTTGAGTCCTGGCTTTCCAGGTCGAACAGCTGCTGAGCTTTCGCAGCGATCCAGAGGCCGCACATGGCATGGATGCTCAGGGTCAAGAACCGGTCTTGACTTTTTTGTGGCCTGTATATCTAGGAGCACAGCCTGCAGCTAAATTCGTGATCGATGTGCATCTCGGCACCAGTCTGTGCAAAGGGAAACTCTCCATTGCGGCACAGACACAAACTTCCGTTGGCAGCACAGTGGCAAGCACAGGGTATGGTTGTTAACCCTTTCAAGCTGGTTCAACTGACTGTGGGATTATCCGAAGAGCAATGGCGCCCGTGTCAGCGAACGATTCAATCATTCCCCACATGCCGCTGGAGTTGGCAGTTTCGGGACCACATCCTGTTTTTTCGCAGCAAGCAAAACTGCACCCTGCGCATCCCTGCGCGACTGTCGCTATCGAGGTCTGGTATGGCAGAGGATCCCCGACTGTCGGAGGCTCAGCTTACCGACTGCCAGACACCTTAGTGAGTGCTCTCGGGTCGATTGGAGAGGCACCGTTTATCCCGAGGCAAAAGGGCAGGAACATGATCCTGAACCCGTTGTCTCATCCACCGATGTCGTAGCTTATATTAACTACAAAGTTGGGAAAGAGACATGTCATTCTTGCATGTTACGTCGGATCCAATCTCATTCGCGCTTACGGCTTGATTGCTTTCATGGAAGACCGCCCATCTCAATCGTAGAATCGGTGCAGCAAGGAGATGTACCTCCGTTGTGTCGAAGTAGGCAAGTGCAGGTTTCAAGTTCAACCCACTTCCCATGAGAACATGTTGCGGTAGATTTGTCTGAAGATAAGTCAGTGCTTGACTCACTGAAACCCGAAGGGCCAAGTGGCTTGTGATGCAGGGCTTCGGATTTGATTTGGATCATTGGGGCTTGGAGCTCACGAGATGAACTCAGGACATGTCTCTTTTTGACACGATTCCTCCAAAGAGGACTTGTCCGTATTTATCGAATGCGTTCCGATCTGCTCAGGATGGACATGCCCGACATGGGCAGACGACCTTGGCGTATTCACCAGAGAGTGGACTCATCAACCGCTTGGTTTGTACTCCAGCGGCTTGGCTGCAGCCTGCAGGCTTGCGGAAGTCTGAAGCCCAAGCTCTCCAAGCGTGTTTCTCCACCCTGTGCAAGGTGGATTTCAGTTATGACCACCGTCCTCCTTGTCCTTGCTCTTGGCGCATTCCTTCTTTATGTTGTCAGTCGTGGTGTTCCGAAATCCAGCTCACGCAGGGCACGAGCTTCTTCGCCAAAACTACAATCAGTCTTTGCAGCACTAAGCTTGACGTTTCCGATCGCTTCCGGTATCTTCCGGTGTTCCAGGTCAGTGGCATGTCACCCAAGATGAAAGTTGTCCTGGCTTTGACAATGCTCGTGGACTATTCGTGCACTGACCAGTACCAGCCAAACATCCCAGCCATGGCCAAGTTCTTCATGGTATCTCCAACTGAAATGGGCTTCACGATCCAGATCCATCTGCTCTTCTGTGCCCTAGGGATGACAGTTGTTGGCCCGCTTTCTGACCGAATAGGCAGGAGGCCAGTCATACTGGCTTGCCAGCTGATGCAAGCAATCAGCACCGTCACTTGCATGTGTGCCTTGTCTGTTTTGTGTGGTTTACTTCTGCATCTGTCGCAATGCAGAAGCTGCCTCAAATATCTCCCAGGCGCCTCCAGCATTGGTTGGTTTATGGCCGGTCGAGCTATTCAAGGATTAGCAGCCTCGGTCTATGTTGCGATTCTCGCAAGCATGCGAGACTGCTTTGACGATGCTGCCAGCAGGCAGCGCGCGATGGGTGCCATGATGTCTGTGATGCTCATAGGCCCGATCTTCGCCCCTGCTGTCGGAGGGTACCTGGCTTCTGATTTTGGCTGGAGATGTCCCTTTGGCCTGTTAGCCATCTTCGCCGTTGCTCTGGCATGCATAAGCTACCACGTCATTCACGAGACGGCCCCGGCACATGAAGAAGCCAGCAACTTGGCCCCGGCCTCAGCTGTGGTAGCGTGAAACAAGGAGAGACCAACGAACGAAGGAAAGCAAGCACACGCGCACACGAAAATGCACACGCACACCCACGCACACGCGCATGCACAGCTGTGTCCCCTACGATGCGAAAAAGCAGGCCAAGCGAGATGCACGCGTGCGTGCAGTAAAACGGGGTCTATAGCACCATGGCATGTGTGTGAGTGACTGCGAGTGTTTGCGTGGCCTTGTTAGTGCGATTTCTTGATTGCTCGCAGTGTTCTGTGCTCACAGGTGCACCTGCTGCTTAGCATGCAGTGGGTTGGGCGATAGGCTCGTAAAAGTAGGGGCAGTTCAAAATGAAGGAGTCTGCAGGGGAAGGTCTGACCTGGTAGAGGTTTGGAGGGTTGGGGTTTCTAGTGGTGGGTGTTGATCCCTGTAGGAGTGACCCTCTTTTCCCATGTGCTAAGGAATTTCACACAGACCGAGCCCCACAAAAGTGGGGCAGGCTTGCAAAGATTTCTTATGCAGTCCAATCAAGCGAGCCGGGCAAAACAAGGCGGCTTGACCGTTGCAGTAGACGAAAGGTACTGCATCTGCACTCACGACAGACTGTCATGCACTTGACCCCGAATAAACAAAGCAGCGAAACCGCTGTTGCGTTGGTCCCTCCCTCCCGCCCTCGCGCCCTCCCTCCCTCCCTCCCTCCCT